TTTGTAGTTGTATTTGAAGCTGTGGATCGTACTGTATTTGTTGTGGGGTTATTAATATTAACATTAGTATTTGGTTGTTGTTGTTGACGTTTGAGTATGTCCGTTTGTTTTTTTTTTTTTGATGTGAAACAAGTTGAAAATCATCATCATCTGGATCACTTGATAGAGTACCACGTTTGCTACGAGCTGGCGAATTGATTGGAATCATATTCGTTGATAGTGGTGGTGGAATACGTTGATGACGAAGATTTTCTTTCGATATGAAGTGCACGTTGGATAATAGATCAACTTGTGTAGCTGGACATGAACATTGATGATGATAACATGATTGAGGTAATTGACCGATTATATTATCAATGGAATAACGATTTTGTTGCTGATTTGAATAAACCATTTTTTTATTTGTGTGATAATTAGCCATATATTGACTAAATTATCCGCAATTTAAGTTGGTTTTATTTATTTATTGTTTATTTTGTTTTGTCTGATATTATTTTCTATATTCTACTTCAATAGATGTGATCCAAAAAAAAGATTAAACAATTCATCATATCATATGTTGGAACAGTTCATGAATTATTTGATTGGTAAATTATTTTCTGTATGTAAATGAAATACATTCTTTTATAAAATAATAAATATGAAAATTATTTAATTGAATATTTTCTTCTTTGAATTAATTCAAATTGAACATCGAGATATTTCAAATGAATCTAATGAACAAAAAAAGTAAATTATCAAAAGTAATTGATGTAATAGAACAGTGGAACTATTTATTGTTTATACAGTTTCCTGTTACTTAAATCTAGAATGAAATATTTAAATGATCATAATTGTCGATCAGTATTGGTTCTCAGTTTGTTCTTTTTTAAATTCATTATTTTTATGTTTTCATAGTTTGAGTTAAGATTTGGTAAATCGAGCATTGCTTTTTATGCATGACGACCAAAATCAACTATCCGACTATGAATGATCGTATTTGTACAATAACAAATGAAGTAAAACAAAAAAAACAGACAGCACCATATGATTAAATATGATGATAAACATGAACAATGAGAGGAAAACTCGTATTATCTTATATAGCTGAACTGTTTCTTTTTGAATAACTTTCCATAGGAACATTCTAGAGATCTGCGGTTTTTACCGATTTCATCCGAAATATCAACTTCTTTGTTACATGGAGACTGATTGTTTAATTCCATAAATATTGTAAGCACAGGTTTGATCATTTTGAACCTAGAAATAAATATTATCATTCGATTTAGGATAGTGAATTACATCTGTCTACATGTTTGTCCAGATGATCACAATTGAATTGACTGAGACACAGGGAGAAGCGAAACGGGCATTTTGTCGTTTAAACTGTGATGTATTGTCCAAAATAACCGTTTATCACTCTAAACGCTTTTTCGAACGAAAAATAGCTGAAAATTGGCCTTACAAAACGGCATAGAAACGTAGTCAAATGTACTGATACTGTTTAAACAACAAAATGCCGTTTTTCTTTCTAACTGGGGTGTAACTTAAGGCTCAAGACTATAAAATATCTAGTAAGTTAGATCTACTTTTGTGATTCATTTTATATCAGAGTTCGATTCAAATATACAAAGTATCTGCATAAAAACTTAACGTGAAAACTTATGTAAGTACTCTATCGGTTTTAATGAGCTCTTTTTAATATTTCATATGATTTATGTTCAAAACGATTACTAGCAGCTAAAATATATAAATCCATATTTTTTTTAAGTATTGAAAAGAAAAACATTACACAAAAAGCTTTTTCAAACTAGATGCGTGGCAGAATTGAATCAGACTATCTTGTCCAATATATATCGTTCAGAAACAAAGATTTTTGGAAACGATTGAGATCTTCTTGATGCCAATAGATTTTTCAATAAACACTCAGACATAGTCGACTTTTCTTAATTGGTTTACCTTCTTCAAAAACGTGACTGATTGACTACGTGACAATTTTTAAAAAAGCCTCTTACCGAGATTTTCATTTCGAGTTTCTTTGCAAAATTCAATCAGCAGCTCTTATTTTAGGATTGTAGGCAATTCGATATCGGTTATCAGAAAAAAACTAGTTTTAATTCTAATGTCTACAGATAATGTATATGAAATATATCGAACAAAACTTTATCCTATGAAATGATGAAAAGTTCATCGAGATCTGTGGCATTATTGAAGAGTTATTTATGGTTTCTTTTTACGCAGACTTTCGCAACATATTGTATGATTGATGCACATGAGATTTAGTCATATTACAAATGTCAATAACATTCGATGAGATAGCTAGACATGAAATAGATCAGTCTGTTTTTTTTGTTCCGATTCTCAACCGTCTTGTCCGTATTTATTTAAAACATATCAATCGTGACGATGTATCATCCGAAGGAATCTTTGCATGACCATAAAAGACATCGCTCTCAATGAAAAAATATTGGTTCTCGTCTCAGAATCACCTTTTTCATATATAAGAAATAATACTTCTACGAATTCTAATGCGATTAAAACTATTATAATATCAATCATTCATCTATCTTATTAATCGTTTGTGATGAAATTACCATAACAAGATTTTAAG